AGCCTTGCTCCCGCCCGGGCGGACCAGCCCCACGGGGCGATGATGGGCATGGAGCCTTGCTCCCGCCCGGGCGGACCAGCCCCACGGGGCGATGATGGGCATAGAGTATACCTCCCCCCCCACACACACACCGGGTTGGCCCTGCGGGGCGATGGTGGGCGTAGAGCCCGGCTCCTGCTGCTCCCGGGTGGGCCGGCCCTGCCCTGCGGGGCGATAACCGGGCTCACCAGTGCTCTCCCTGAAGGCCCACGAGGCCGGGCTGTGGGGAAGAAGGTGCCCTGGGTCGGTATCAGTTCAGTTCAGTACAGGTCAGGAGCAGCCTAGGGCCCTGGTCACGATACCGGTATCCTGATGCGTCCTCCCGGACAGGTATTGGCCAGCGAGAGTGAGAGACGCAGCCCTGGCTCAGCAGTCATCGGTCCGGAGTTGGGCTGGGTCTGCACTGCAGACTTGTGGCTAGAGCTGTGTGGGAATAGAGTAGACGCAGCTCCTGCTGTAGACAGCGCTTCTCTCCTCCACGCAGCTATAGTCCGTCCTCGGGGGGCGGTGGAGTTCCGACGCGGGCGGGAGAAGCTCTCCTGTCTGCTAAGAGCGATGGCAGCACCGCATGCGTAGACAAGCCCTGACTGCTGCCTTGTATGTTGTGGAGTCATTGGCACTGGTGCAAACGGTGCCATTCTGCCAGCCTCTGGGTTGGTGAATCAATCGCACGAGGTGCATAGAAACAGTGACTTGTGGCCCTGTATTTGTTAGTGTAGTTGCTAACATGTACAGGTTATTAATATGGGGCATTTGGAGTGGAGACTAGAGGGACCCATTTTCCCAGGGAAACAGCATGTAATATTCCCTTTTACAAAAATAAGGCCAGTTAACTAATAACAAATGGCTAATATGTAGTTAGCACCATTCACAGCTCCCTCCATACTTTCCCAGGGTCTAGTGGGAAGATCATTGCAATAAGACAAGCATTGAAAAGGGGGGAGGGGGAGTAGCAGGAATCAAACTTCTAGGCTTTGTCTTCACCTCCAAAACCAGTGTGTTTTTACCATGGAATAATGAATGTATATTAGCTATCCTACTGCAAAATCTCTGCGAAGGGATGGCACCATAGTGTTCGTTGCGAGATAAACACAGTGCCCTCTCCAGGGTTGACCTCGCTTATTTACCTTGCAGTAAAAGTGACAATGCTTTGTGTCCACTAGGATCTTACTGTGTGATAGTGAACAGGTGTAAAAAAGCCACGTTTGTTGCAGTGGAGACATGGCCCTAGCTGCACAAGAGGAAATGCCAACCCAGTGTGACTTAATTTAAACAAAGAGGCTTTTATTTTTGCTGGAGTTTTCCAAGCACTTTGAGAAAGTTCAGTGCCCAGATTTCAGTGGGATTTGAAACCCCCAACCTTCTATGCCTAAATAATGTATGGTACTGCTGATAATATCTTTAAAATGTCTGGTTGATGGTCTTAAAATATTACAATATGTTAATGAGGCTTTAATACTGCAGTGTATTTGCTGGAACAGAGAATAATCCAGGATTCTGCTAACCAGCACCATTGTAAAATGGGTCAAAGGAGCCCTTTAAGAACCCCAAAGAATTTACTTAAGGTTTCCCCAAATCTTCAGATGATGTTATTGGCTTTGTAAATGGGTGTTTTGTGTCTGCATAGAGGGAGGAAAGAAAAACAGTACTGATTAGCTTAAACAGAGTAGTTTTCTTTCAATCACATACATTATGCTCTCACTTTGTGTTGATTCTCTCCTTCATAATCATATGTAAGTCCCAAAGAGATCTGGCTGGCCAAGCACCTTCTCTTTCATGGCCTGGTCCAATCAGTGTGTACATATTTAAAAACAAAAACAAAACAGCAAACCCATCAAAACGCTCCACTGTGTATACAGCTCTCCTTGGGGAGAGGATGAGAGAGAGAACAAGCCACAGGTGACAGATATTTAGCCATGTTGCTCAGTGCATGACTGGAGGGTGCTGTGACACTGCCATGAACCTGGATAATCAAATGTTGGGGTCTGATTATGTGGTTTAGTTTCACATCTGTGTGTTATACCATGACTGTTTGCTATTAGGGATATTGTTGTTGCTTCCCAAAGCCAGCATGCAGATTTCACTGCTGTGTCACAATAGAATGAGGAGATTAAAGCTTGTTTAAATGCAAATACTTTCAGCTGCCAGGAATGGGTTGCTAAAGAGCAATGTACATTTAAAAAAATAAATCCCTATGATGAAATGCACTCTTTATGAAGCATACCTAGGTGTCATTCAATTACCATGGGAGCCCTGACAGTAGAACTTCATTCTAGTAGACTGTTACAATAGTGCCTGGCATACATACAGGAGGATGGTAAATTTACATGGAAAGTCTGCCAAGAAATGACATACTGTATTGGGGTACCAGAGGGCTTGCCCAAAATGCAGCAAGACTCTGGAAGCTTGCATTCTTATTAAGCATTCGAAGTTGCAGAGGGATCTGCAAATTTATGCTATAGTTAGCCAGTTGCAAGGAAGCATTCTCGAGGTACAAAATGCAATTTGTATTTTTATTCCTTGAATCCTTCTTTTCTCACAGTGCTAACTATCTGCCTTGATTCTATAGTGCAATTAAAATCTGAAGGTGTTTATGAATGGAAAACTTGTGCTGCTTGCATGTAATGAGGAATAATTAGCCACGAGGAAAACTAGTCTGCAAAATGGCTATGAATGTCTGTTACTAGTAGATTGCTAGAGGGTTTGTTAAAGCAAATCTTATAAATATGCTGGACTTCCCAGACTCACTTTATTAATAACACTTAGCACTGTTACCATTATTACTTTTTTTTACACCAGCTCAGGGGCTCACATTGTAATAGGCACTATACAGACATATAGTAAATGACAGTCCCTTCACATCTTCAAAGCATTTTGCAGATGCAAGCAAACCCCCAGGAAAAGGCACTGTTGTCGTTTTGCTTTCTTTCTGCCAGTTCACTGTTTCATGCAGTTAAATTTAATATTTGCAATATCAGTTTAATTAAAAGCCAAGGAAATAATCAAAGTTAAATTCTATTAAATAAAATACAGACTGAGTTTCCAGCTTCTTCCTGTTGCCAAAAAAAAAAATAAAAAAAAAATCACCTCTATTCCTAGGACACTGAAATAGTTTGCAAACTCAGTCTTGTTCTGACTGAATGAAAGTCAGTTACCCAATTAATACACTCCCTGGCCTATGAGATTGGTTTAAACACTTTAAACCTTTTGGCTTTATAAACATCTGGATTGAACAAGCAGAGCTTAACTAGGTTTTACTCATTGCTAATTGCAAAGGACAGCAGGGTAAAATTAGTAGGGGAATGTCTGCCAGGAAACCAGTACTCTTTCTGACCTAGCAATTCCAGCATCTGTGCTTCAGGCTTCTGTAATCAGTGACATGAAGGTTATTTTGATTTGTTTGCTCTGACAAACAAGTAAATGCAGTCAGTGAATTTTCAGCAGACTCCTAGTGACCTGGAAGACAGGAGCTTTAGCATACAGCTAGGTCAGACTGAAATTAATCCAGTTAGAGCATCTCCAGCTGAGAAGAATCCGATTACTGTACCTGGTAATTCACGACCATTGAAACCAGCCTGTGGACAGCTGTACCTCTCCTGTATTGATTTAATGCTTTTAGTGAGTTTAGTACTAGTAAAAGGCAGTGGAGTGATTGGAGCCTTTACCCCAGAACAGTTAGAACATGGGCACAACAGTGTAGGCTTCCCCTTTGCTGCTTTGCCAGCGTGTATCAACTGTTAGTTGGAGAGATCACCCCAAGGTGACTGGCCCCAGGACCCATTTGATGCTTGTTTGTTCCCTGCTGCTGGGAATGGCACATTCGTTGGGTTCTGGGTGACACAGGGCCAGGTGGGTTCAGCATTACTTAAACCTCTTGAACAACAGCCTATTTTTTCCTCTGGTTAGCGTTATTTGGGCTTTCCCCGAAGATTAGCGTGATGCTGTCTGGGAGCCTGGGTGGATCGGGGGCCTGGTAATGGGACACAGAGACTTACAGTTCTAGGTCTCTGGCTCATCTCTAGTCTTGCTGTGACCAACGTCATCCTTAATGTAGGCAGCTTAGGAGTCTCAATCAGATAAGTGAGTTGGTAGTTGTCCACGTCATAAAACTTGCCAGAAACTGGCACCGTGAAGGTCAAGGACTGAATGCCCATATTGACTGGGTAAGGCTGAGGTAGTTCAAGTAGGGACTGAGGTACATAATGAGGACACTTCCTGTGCCATGCCTGTTCTGCAGCCACAGGGTAACGATCTGCCAGCCTGGCACTAGCACAGAATTCAGTTAATTACAATAAACTAGTCACAAAGACCAACAACACAACAGTAAAACCCAGACAGCATGCTCCCAGGAAAAACACACTCCTTTCAGCTAGTACTACGGGCCATTCTCATTTGGGCTGTTTGCTAATAAGATGCTGATTGAGTTGCCCATAAAGCAGCATCTGCTGGCCACACCTCCCAGCTGGAACTGTGCAGAGAGAAGCAGCAAGCATATGTTGTCAGAAGTGATGGATATGGGAATGGGAAGAGGAGTAAGGGAAATGCAAGGAAGCTAATGACTGGGTCTATAGTGAAAGTGATGCATTATCAGCATTGGATCCAATGGCTGTAAAGATCAGAATCGATTTATAAATTCTCCATAATGTGTCCTCTCCTAATCCCCCAGCTCCCAGAAATTGACTGAGATGCTGAGGTTTCGATGCTGAGCACTACATGCTGTATTACGGAGCTGCTCACCTTGGCTCATGGGGAAACTGCAGAGTAAAATCAACTGCAGCACCTCCAAATACAGGTAAACAATCTCCTGGGAATGCCAGCTCCATGTTAAGTTACTAAACCCCACCGATCATGGCAGGGAGGTTAGTGATCATATGTAATCATCTGGGTTTTATGAACTGTAACTTTTCCTTTTGATTCTAAAGGTTCTTAATTTCTCAATGGTCTAAAATACCTGTCTCTGCCTCCACACACATTCGAAAGCAGTGGCCTAGATCCCAGCACTGCAATGACTGTGTGGCTAAAATGGCAACTCCACCCCCACTCTGCATTTGCTTGTAGCCCTGAACATTAAAAGTTGCTTTAGTGGATGGAGTGTGTTGGCAGCTCACTCAAACTAATCTATCCTCTCTCGAGAGAGAGTGTCACTGACATCCACCTGGGCAGTTCCTAGGCAAGGGTGCAAAGGACCTGGGTGTACTATCTTGGGTGGAATATGGCTCCTCTTGACAAAGGAGATACTGCTCTGCTAGTCCTGTACCCTGGGCCATCTAGTAAACAATTGTCCTTAGCCCTGCAGTATAGTGTCTACTAGGACAGCTGGGATGCGAATAGCTGCACTGTCACACACACGTTCTTTTCTTTTCATAGCTATTAGCCAGGGCAAAGGGGGAATTCCGGTGGGCACTGGCAAGCAATGATCCCTTACTCTCCAGTGTTAATCCAAGGGAGGTGCTGGTGCCACCATGGAAGAGATCAGAGAGAGTTTCAGATATAGTTCCCCTCCTCTCCCTCCCCCAACCACACATGGAAATGGAGAGCTTCCCTCAAACTGAATGGTCTGGGAGCTGTATCAAAGTATCTGGCAGCAAAAAGGGGATCTCTGGTTTGAGATTATCCTAACAGCAACCCATTCAGCTTTGTCTTGCACTCGTAATGAACCAAGTGGTGGTGCTGACAGCCTGTGTTGGGAGCAGTTCCTGTATTCCTGAGCCAAAATGATGTGCTGCAAGCTATTTGTGTGGGAAGGAGAGGAACTCCTGCTGGAGGGGTGGGGATATGCTACTGTAGGAGGGGACGTACCTGTGCATAGGAGAAATGGTGAGCAGTCTAGTCTCTGAGAGTGAGAGAGACACCCTCAATAGCCTGAGCAAGTGACATGCATGGCTCCCCCTGCAAAGAAAGGGTTAAATTCTCCCTTTCTCCATGAGTAGGGAGATGGGCGTACTGGCCCATAAGTACTGGAGATAAGCCAAGGGCACAGAGCAGCAGGATTATTATTGTGAGGGATATTTGAGAGAGCAAAAAATGTCTGAACTGTTGGAACAGTGGCTGAGTCAGACCATCATCTGCCAGCTGTAGTAGGGAGACTGGTGAAGTTCTGTTAAAGTCGATCCCATGCACCATAGTGGAGGTGAGTAACCGTTCTGCAGGTTTAGGAATTAGAGGTGGAAGAGACCCTATTATGTCACATCTAGGAAACACATTTATGTCCCCGGAGAGCTGATCTCTGCATTGTCCAGAGCTTGCGTGTCGGCTTGCCTTTCTCCAGCATCTCAACATGCAGCGTTTCTTCCTAAAACAAGGCGCTGCTATCCTTAAATTCAGTCTAATTGGAGCCAATGCCATGTGGTTTGAGAAGTGGGATGAGTGATCTATGGCATACAGTGACTTCTCTGTAACATGTACTGAAGTTCCTGCTGCTGTGTGTCTTTCCCTCTTTGGCAGGCCTGATGATTATGTGGAAGAGGACAGTCCTGCACAGGCTGTTCAGCAATACAGCCCTGCTCACACTGGCGCCGTCACTTCTGTGGCTGCTCTAACATCAGATCTCTGTGTGTCGGGAGGAAAGGACAAGGTAGGGTGGGTCAAAATTCACAGGAACAAAATGAATGCAAGGAAATCAAGTGTTTCTGGAACTCCCTGCCATAGAGATAAGGGCAAATGACTTGGCGAGATTCAAACAACAGGGTTTAGGTGTTCACAGGCATCAGACCGACAGTTGGTTAAAATAAAAATGCAAAGGCTGTCAGTACTCCAGGCCACTGACTGCCCACCAGTTGGGGTGGGGAAGAAGTGCCCCTCCCATTTCCAGGTACTTGTGATGGGGAGGGACACAGCGGCCATGAGCCATTGTTGGCACCTGTGCTAGACAAACAGCTCTTGTGGGGCAATTCATTGGCTCTGAAGCATTTCAAACCGTGAAACATCCCTTTATTTCAGAGTGAGGAACTCAAAACCAACTATCATGGCTCCATGAAATTCACCTTTGTTGGCAACGAATTACCCAGCCCACCTCTGAAGAGGGGTTCCAGAATAAATATACCTTCCCAGCTATAAGCACTGTGTCTCTTGTGATGCTAACACAGTTAGAGAAGGCTGAGCTGATGGCACAGAGCATGCAGGCCTTGCTGGCACAGTGGGATCACTACCAGAGCAGAGACTGAGTTAGGCTGTGAAGTCAGGAGGACATTAAGATGTGGCAATAGTGTTTCAAATAATGTTTATTTTTAAATCACTGCCCCCTTACCAGGGTGCCTGGAATGCCACGCAACACAGCTGTGCAATCCTCCAATTCAAAGGGCATCATAGAACCAAAGGGTTAGAAGGGGCCGCAATGGTCATCTAGTCTAAGCCCCTGTTAAGACGCAGGATTTGTTGTATCTAAACCATCCAAGACAGGTGGCTCTCCAGCCTCCTTTTGAAAACCTCCAGTGAAGGAGCTTCCACAGCCTCCCTAGGCAATCTCATTGTCCTACTGTTCTGACAGGTAGGAAGTAATGTCAGTCTGCATGCATGGATGTGCTGGCTGAATTCACATAGACGTTTCTCTCTCCAGACTGTAGTTGTGTATAACTGGAGATCGGGAGCAGTGCTGAAGAGGTTCGTGGGACATCAACGCGAAGTGACTAAGGTAAATTTCAGACTTGTCAAAAGTGCAGGGTGAGTTTTATGTGGATCACTGACTTCCGTCAAAGACAGACGTAACAAGGGACAGTGATTAGTCATCATCCAGAGCTGATGTGACTTTGCTTGGTCAGCAAGGAAGGGATGGAACATGCCAGGTACCCCTGCAAGCTGCCTCAGGTGCCCTGGATAGATCCTCTTGCTGCATAATATGAGTTGATTTTTCACAACTAGGAAGAGTGAGTTTCTGCTTCCTAGAGATGAATATGCAGTGACAACATCCAAACAGCACTGGCTCTATGCAGCTTTAATATGTATTCATTCCTTCATATCAAGATACCATGACAGCAGGATGAATTGTTGGGTCAGGTTTTTATTTCAGGGACGATATCAGTTTGTCTTCAAGTCTTATGCTACTAGATTATGGGTACAGACTAATAGCTACTCACAGCCCCCAGAGAGCTTTGATCTGAGACCTGGTATTCTATTTGTGAAGCCAATTAGGCAGTGCCGTAACGAGGGCAAGGCAAGTGAGGCACTTGCCTCAGGTGCGGAAGATGAGGGGCGCAGAAAGTCTCTCCTTCGGCTGCAATTCGGCAGCAAGTCCTTCCCTCCGAGAGGGACTGAGGGCCCCACCGCCGAATTGCCACCGGTCGTCAGCAAGGGAGAGGGGCGACACGTCCGGCTCTTCGGCGGCAATTCAGCGGTGGGTCCTTCCCTCCGAGATGGACCCGCCGCCCAAGAGCCGGACATGCCGCCCCTGTCCCTTGCCTCGGGCGCAAAAATCCCTAGTTACGGCTCTGCAATTAGGCTTTCTTTGTAGCAAATAGCATGTGAATGTGCACACATGCATGCACCCTCCCCCCCCCCCCCCACCCATTTGTTATATAGCGAGGCAGGACTGGTAGCACCACCTATTATTAAGGTTGCCTAAGATAATTTTTCCGTTGCTTATAACTTTACCAAACTTTAACCATTTTGGTTGAAATTTTCCATGCTGGCCCCAGGCTAACTTGTTTTGCAAAGTTTCAGCCAAAATGGGTCAGCTGTTCCTGTGAGCGAGGCTGGGGCAAATGCATTGTTTTGCAAAATGTTGAAATGTTGGGTGACTATTTCATCAAGAGGCTCTAGCGCATCTATGCATTGGAGCAGGAACATAAACTTTGGCAGAAAATGGCCTTTGTGTCAGGGATGAGTGTTTTGGTGTTCCTGGGAAAATCTGCCATCATCTGGCCTAGTAATAAGCCTTTGGGGAAAAAATCTCAGTTTGCTCATGTTCAAAGTTTCCTAGAGTTTAGCAGCTAAAATCTCCAAAGATTCCATCCTCCTTGAGGATATTCCAGCCCCTCTGTGCTATCGGGCTGCGCACGCACCATCCCCACAGAGTGACTGAGCAGCTAGGGGGCAAAGCTGGACTTTCCCTGTAATTGCACCTCCTGGCTAGGCCAAGGCCTAGGCACTGGAACTGAGAGCAGGGAGCCAGTCTCTCCTGTGCTCTCAGGACCCCCTTGCCAGTACCCAGGCAGCATGGAGGAGGAAGCCGCTTGCCTCAGATGCAGAGGGAGAAGAGCCAGTCTGGTGGGGGAGAGGGAATGAAGTAGAGTGGAACAAGGAAACTGGGATTGGGAATCGGTGGGGGGAAGGAAAGAGAGTGTACTGAGAGCCGGAGGGGAGGAGACTGGGAGCTGGGAAGGGGAACAGGTGCAGGAGGGGGGACTGGGAGACAGTTGGTGTGGGAGGTTAGACAAGGAGCTAGGGAAAGGGGGGAACTGGGATTGGCTGGATACAGAGATTGGAACTGGGATGCTGTGGGGCTTCCTTATTCTCTGGGCACCCTGGGATCTAATTTGCAGAAGTGTGGAGCACTCTCAGCTGGGACTGAAGTCACTCTGGGAGCTGTGGTATAAATATAAAAAGTGCTATAGAACGCTAAGGACTCTGCAAATCAGGTCCTAAGTGTCTCAAATTGGGCTCCTCAAATCAGTGGGAAGTTTTGTCCTTAATCTTTCTCTGCCCCAGCGGCTCATCTGTCAAATGGGGATAATCCCATCCTTTCTTCTTATGGGGGTGTTGTGAAGATTAATGTTGGTGAACGCTCAGATACTATAGTGATGAGCCCCATCAAAAAGCCCTTGAGAAAATAATAATTCTGTTGTCAATGCAGGGTGTGGCCACCCATTGAACAAGGAGGAGAAAACAAAACCTTGACTAGCTGTTCATTCAGTGAGCACCATGCTCTGAGTGAGGCAAAAACCAGTACTTGAGCTCGTGTAATTAAAGATGATCATAATGGATATACACAATGGAGCTGAATTAAGGTTGCACCAGCAACCTTAATTGTGGCATGTGCGAACTTTTGAGTGCTTGGCTCACAACCTGAATATGTTCTTTTAGTGTAGATTTGTGTGAGATATATTGTTACGCTGCGTGAAACCTTTTTGAAGGTGGCCCTTCACTCAGGATAAATGTACAAAACATTTAAGCACCTTTATGGAATACATTGTTGAAACAATAGGAGCTGCTGCCCAAAACGCAGGCCGTGTGCAAGGCTGTTCAGGAATCTGAGCTATGTGTGGGTGACATGGGTGGACTCAGGGCTGGATGCAGACACGGGCGGCTGGATACTGTTTGAGGAAGCTATGTGCATGTGGAGAAAAGCAGCAGAAACACCACAGAAGCAGCAAGCAAGCCCCAGAGACAGCCATAGAAACACTTGTAGCAGGACCCTGAGCTAGGGGAGAGAGCTTTGGGGTACAGTGCTGGCTGGAAGGAGGCTTGGAGCTGTGGACAAAGAAACTGTCTCCTGCTGTATGATTCCTACTGTGTTCAGAGAAACAACCTTTGTACATTCTTTGTAAATAAATATGATTGCATCAAGAAATGCCTGATTGGATCATCTGTTTCTCCCCCTAGCAGAAACAACCTTTAGGAGCCTGAATAGTAACTAACCACTAAGGTCACAGGGAGTAACAGCAGATATAGAAAACATTAAATCGAAGCGATTGCTGCAGGGGTATCGTGGCAGCAGTTTACTCCATGGAGACTAAACTGGCCCCCTGGCTTACACAATCCCATTACTGGATCTAGATCTGGAGAGCTCAGTTCATCTGTGCACTCAATTTTGGGAAAGCAGGTTAATTCTGCTTGCCTACCCACTCCCTGCCACCTCCATAAACTAAAGTTTACGTGCTAAGTAGTGATGCATCTGAAGAAGTGAGGTTTTTACCCACGAAAGCTTATGCCCAAATAAATCTGTTAGTCTTTAAGGTGCCACCAGACTCCTTGTTGTTTTAGTGCTAGCTCTGACTACAAGCGCTCCTCCCCCCCCACAGAGGCGTGGCGCCTACCCCCCCGTTCCCTCCTCCACAGGCCTGAGTAGGGCACCAAAATAGCTAGGGATGGCGCTGCTTGGTCCCCAGTTGTGTACATCACAAAGCCACTGTGCACTTTGAACGGCTCACCAGACATGAAGGGCTGGAATAGATGGGGTGTTGTAGGTACATAGCTAAACTGTGCAACTGTGTTAGGTCATGCCTGGCTCTAGCCTCTGCTAGTAATCCCTTATTTTCAAGAGCCCCTGTTGACTGTCAATGGGAACTAGTGACTGGGAGAGGAGGCTGGCACTCAGGAGACTCGAGTTCTATTCCTGGCTCTGCCGCTGACCTTCCTGGGTGAGCTTGGGTCAGTCATTTCCCCTCCATGTGCTTCAACATCCCCCTCTGCAAACGGGGATTAATAACACTGCTCTACAGCCAAAATGCTTCTGAAATAAATGTAGTCAAACTTTAGTAATTCTGGGTCACTGAGAACGAAAATGTTGCTTAAAATTGTTGATTGGCTCTAGTTTTCAAGATATGCTATTCGGTCAGTATATACGACCCTTGACTTGGGAATGGCAGAGGATAAGTGAGTTATAAAGGGAAGGGATCTCAGTTTAAACCAGAAATGACTAAAATACATCTTTGACTGAATCTATGAATGAATCTATGACTGGGTTTGGACAGTACTTGCTTTTTAGGCAAAACAATGAATGATGCAATCTGAAGCTGGTATTGCGTCATACATGATATGAATTGCATCATGTTATTCCTAGAAGTCATGGATGATGCAATCATAACGAAGCTTACATCACTCTGCTGAACAAATTGCCCTATATCAGCTCTAGAAATCATACAGTGTCGTGCTCTCTTATTTGTCAGTGTTTGATTTTGCAAAGGGACACATTTCTGTTTAGCCAAAGTGAGCAGAGATGCCTCGTACTTGTGTGAACAGTGCAGATAACTTCTGCTATGTTTGTGGTGAAGTGACTTTTGCATCACAAAAGCGCAGTATAACCACTATGGTTAAGAAAGCCTATCACCTTTATTTTGGCTGCAAAATTGGAGATCAGGGCAAGAGGTGGGCCCCACACATATGCTGCAACACTTGTGCAACAAATCTTCGCCAGTGGTTGAACAGGAAAAGGAAATCTATGCCTTTTGCAGTGCCAATGATTTGGAGAGAGCCAACAGATCATACCAGCAATTGTTACTTCTGCATGGTGCCTCCAGTTGGGAAAGGTGTGTCAAAGAAGAAAAAGTGGACTGTGCATTATTCAAACATTCCATCAGCTATACGCCCAGTACCCCACGGAGAAGGACTGCCGGTTCCTGATGCACCAGAATCATTCTCACTTGAGTCAGACGAGGAAGAGGATGAAACTTCTGGTCCTGAACCATCAATGGCACAGGACCCACATTTTCTCCCATCCTCCTCCTCTGAACCACACCTCATAACACAAGGTGAACTGAATGACCTTGTCAGGGATTTGGAACTACCCAAGAGTAAGGCAGAGCTGCTGGGCTCCAGACTACAGGAGTGGAATCTCCTGGCAGGTGATGTTAGGGTTTCCATGTTCCGTGACCGTCAAAAGGATCTTGTCCCATTCTTCTTCATGGAAGGTGATCTTGTAGCCTGCAACAACATCGATGGTGTGATGGCAGCCCTCAACATCGTTCACGATCCAGA